AGTGAGAGTGATGCCAACCCCAAATCCAACCTGAGCACTCACATACAGGGATGAGCATCCTGGTTTCCATGGGAGCTGAACACAGTGCCATGTCCAGGGACAGGATTTGAGACCATCTCAGCCTCTTCCTGGGCTGGTGGAAGGACAAAGCCTGATCCCATGTGGGATGGAATCAGTCTTGTTCCTGCACCCAAAGGCTGTGAGTGTTGTGATGCAGCAGCTCAGGGCTCTGTGTCCCTGTCCCTTCCTCACCCTCCCCAACGCTGTGGTGGGGCACTGCTGGTGGCACTGGGTGGGACATCACACCCCAGCATATCTGCTTCACTGGGGATGGAAATATGGGGCAAAACCCCCAACTAAAGGGATTCCTGCCCCTTCCTGCGACCCAGCATCTCTCCCCCAGCCCCAGTCAGGTGTTGCCACCCCAGCAAGGCTCAGGATGGTGTCACCTGAGGACACTCTGCCCCCCATGACCCATAGCAAAGCACTTACAGCTGTCTTCCTCCTCCAGGAACACTTTGCTGACGTAGCAGGCATAGACAAAGCCAAAGAGCTGAGAAAAGAGTGGGCAGGGAGAAGCTGGTTATCAGGGTGATGGACAACATGACTGGCATGGTGTTGACAGGAGCATGGAGCTGAGTGGTGGGAAGGGATGCCTGGGAGCATACTGGGGGGACTGGGAGCATCCTGAGCTGGAGTCCATCTTCAGTGGGTCAGGATGCTGGTTAGGGATGCTGCAAGGCTGGATGGTTTCAGCTGCACCAGGGGGACAGGGGTGGTGGTCCTAAGGGCTGGCACTCAACTGGGATGGCAGCACAGAGGGTGCTGAGCCCCACGTAGTGCTGGGTGCCACTTTGGTGGGTGCAGTTGCTTTGGACCCCAAGTCCATGTAAAGCTTTATTTCCTTGCAGCCTCCCAAGGCTCCCCAGGAGCTTTGCATCCAGGTATGTCCCATTCCCACCCTCCCTGTGGGGTGTGACAGCCACTGGGAAGGAGGAACCCTCTCCCTCCCCTTGGATCCTGCTCCAAACTTTCCCATCATTGCCGTTCCCTGTGTCCTTTATCTCCTTGCTGACATGTTAGGTCCCACTGCCACCTTGGCCTGAACTGTCCATCTGTCCATCCCATCCCATGGGAACCTCATGCTGCAGCCAGAACCTCCCAGGGAGGCACCCCCAGCATCCAGGTGGGTATTTTGCTGCCAGACTGGGGTCACCCACAGTCTCTGGGTGCCTTTGGGGGCACAGCTGTGGAGCAGGAAGAGGAGCACAAGTGCAGAACAGCAGGAAGGATAGAAAGATGGAGGGAATGGGCATGTGGAGAGGAAGAGAAGGAAGGTGGAGGTGTTACCTGTGTTACACAGAGAGCTCTCCAATTCCTGCAGCATCCAACCCAAAGCCTGCCAGGTTTTGGGGTGGACAGCACCCTTAGAGTGCTGAGCTGGGATCTGTCTGGTCCTTTCTTCCCAGCCCTGAGCTAACACTACCCTGATGATATAAACAGGCACTGATGCATGATGGTGGGACATCTCCAGCTGGACCACGGTGTCTCTGCCCACCCTAGTCCCACCATCCCCCCTCTCTCCTTCCCAGTGTGGGATTAAGGATGAGGGAAGGCTGCCCTTACCGCCAGGAATATCTGTGTGGCACTGCTCACCACCTCAATGTACTGGTAGTCCAGCAAGCAGCCGCTGACCGTGATGACGTGGTGGTCCTCAGGTGCCAGGTTGGAGTTCATCACTGGGGTCACCAGGCAGCCTGGCCCATTCTCCATCCACCACGAGCGATGCAGTGAGGTATTGAAGGTCATGATGAAGTCTCTATCCTGTAGGAGAAGGAGGAGGCATAGACTGTGGAGCTGATAGTCTTTGCAGGAAGGTTGGACAGCAAATGGGCTTTTCCAACCTAAAGATGCTCTATGAGACCATGGTAAAACTAAGCAGGATATCTCTCTGACCCACAGCCAGTGTCCCCAGGGGTTGGGGCTTCCTTCCATGCTGGTGGCATGGACCATTTGGTCAAGCAGCATCCAGGTGTGCCACGATGCCCAGGTGACATGGTGGATGTCATGGAGTGGTCACTAATGTGGCAGCTTGGCCTTGAGGCAGGGAAGCAGCTCCTTGTGATGCTGCTGGCTGCAGCCAGCCATCAGAGACAGGACCATGGAACTACCCTGACATTGTGCTCCAGGGGTGCAGGGTAGTTCTTGCTGCTTCTCCTGGGTTTTAGGGGTGCCATTTCCTCATCCCCATGGAGCCTTGCCAGGAACCCCCTACATATATCCCCTCCTTGTTAGCCCATTACAAGCTTTGGGACTCTCCTGGGTTCATCTCCAGCAGCTTTGAGGTGGCAGTGGGCAAGTAGCAGCCCCTTCCTGCAAGGAATGGCAGTAAAGCTAATCCCCCAGACCCTGTTTGTTCCTCCCCACCCCATGGATGGTCCTCTTGGCACAGCTGGATGAGCCCCCACTCCATGGATAGTCCTCCTGGCACAGCTGGGTGAGCCCTCACCCTGCAGAGAAGCCTCTCAGCCCCTCTCTGCACCCCCAGCCCTTGGATCTGGGGGATGGGGAACTCACTGAGCATCCTCTGTAGGAAATCACCAATCTGGGATTAAAAGATTTTTGCTGATGGGGGTGGAAAAAAATAGCAAGAGAGTGGGTTTGGGTTTGTAAAGCCGAAGGATGTGGGTTTAGGTGCAGGGAAGCAGGATGAGGGGGTGTTCTGGCATCACAGCATGACAGAGACTGGGAATTTCCACCAAAAACACTCAGAGGGAGTGAATCCTCCCCCACTCATCCTCCATGCCTGCTGCATGCACTCAGCATTTCAGCTCTTTAGAAGAGCCTCAGATGACCTGGAGCAAGTTGGGGAGGTGGTATCAGTCATTGAGGCACCCCCAGGAGCCTCTCCCTGCCCAGAGTGAGCAGAGCTGGTTGCCCTGAGCATGGGACAGAGCTGGGGGGAGGATGGCAGAGCAGGCACAACACAGCACAGGTACCTCCACCGTGGGCTGAGGGTGCTCAAACCATCCAGTGCTGCACCATCACTGCAGGAAGTTTTGCTCTTTTCCATGGAAAAGCTGTAATTTAATAGCTAGGGGGTGGTGGTGGTGGTGAAGGGACACAGAGAGGCACAGCCCCACTCATATCCTCACCCCATCACCACTGGTGACTTCCCAAAGCCATGTCCAGCCATTGCTGGGGGGTCCAGGGCTGAGCAGAGCTTGTAGACCCCTCCAGAAGACCCCCAAAATTTGGGAATATACAGGAGGGGGAGTCTCCTTTTCCCACCCACTGCCCTCCCCATCCTGCCAGCATTGTGAACAGAGCTGAGGGAGACCCTGCTCCAAACTTTCCTATCATTGCCCATCCCTGTTCCCTGTGTCCTGTATCTCCTTGCTGGCATGTTAGGTCCCACTGCCACCTTGGCCTGAACTGTCTGTCCATCCCATCCCATGGGAACCCAGTGCTGCAGCCAGAATTTCCCAGGGAGGCACCCCCAGCACCCAGGTGGGTGTTCTGCTGCCAGGCTGGGACCACCCATGGGCTCTGGATCCCTTTTGAGGGCAGAGTTGTGGAGCAAGGGAAGAAGGAGGAGGAGGAGGAGGAGGAATGCAAAGGCAGGACAGCAGAAAGAATGGAAAGATGGAGGGAATGGGGATGTGGGGAGGAAGAGGAGTAGGTGGAGGTGTTACCTGTGACAAACGTCCGACCTCCAGGTAGAAGCAGATGATGAAGGTGTTCCAGCCAACCCACAGCACCAGCCACACTGCATACTGCCAACAGGAGAGACCATCAGGGCATGGACACCCCTGCTCCAGAGCCCCTCCACTCCACTCTCTGCATCCCACTGGATCCCTAAGAATCTGGGGTTGGATCATAGCATCATGGGATCATAGCATTACAGCATGGTTTGGGGGGGAAGGGATCTTAAAGTTCATCTCATCCCACTCCCTGCCATGGGCAGGGACTCCTCCCACTAGCCCAGGTTGCTCCAAGCCCCATCCAACCTGGCTTGGAACACTCCCAGGGATGGAGCAGCCACAGCTTCTCTGGGCAACTCATTCCAAGGGATACAAGAGGGGACCTGGGGCTGAGCCATCCCTGGGGATGACAGTGCTGGACCCTCGGTGGTACCTACCATCATGAGGTATCTGGATCTGTACTGGATGGTCCCAAAAATACCCAAAATAACAGCCATGATGTGTAAAAAATTTGCCAGGATGGGAGCCCACTGGTATCCCAGGAAATCAAAGATCTGCCTCTCCAGGGCTGCGACCTGCAACAGAGCAGAGGAGGGAACAGAGATGAGCACAGGAGAGAGCTGGGATGAGAGCAGGAGGGAACAGGGATGAGAGCAGGAGGAAAACAGGGATGAGCACAGGAGGGACCAGGGATGAGCACAGGAGGGAACAGGGATGAGCACAGGAGGGGAGCAGGGGTTAGTGCAGGACATCAGTCACCACAGCAGCTTCCAGGATGCTGAAGGCAAAGAGCAGCCAGAAATTAATGGGAAATCCCATGGATACTTAGTTGCAATAGGCTGAAATACCTGTGTGATGCATCAACCAGTGGCAGGTGAGGAGTTATTGGGAATATTTGGAGCTGAGAAGGGAAAAGCAAGGAGATGGCAGCTTGTCACCCCCCTCCCCCCTCCAGCACCCTCTGCCTCAGTTTCCCATTGCTCAGGACTGAGGCACTGCTGAAATTCCCCCTCCAGGATGGGTTTATCATGGGAAGAACCTCCAGCTCAGCTCACACATGGGCTCTCCCGGTGTTTCACAAGTGATTTTCTGCCCATCCTCGCCGGCTGGTTGCATTCCTTCCCACGGCCACCTCCGGGCTTTGATTGCCATTAGCATGTGTAAAGGACGAGATGCAGCTGGATAAATCATTCCGTCAGGGCCTGGAGCCGATGGGATCTGCCCGTTATCCCAGCACTTATTTACGGCTCCATTTGCTGCAGCTTGGGGTCTATTACTCTTAATTACAGGCTTAGCTCAAAGCAAGGTGGGAGCGAAGGCAAGGTGGGAGCACTGGAGCATCCAGCCATGGTTTTAAGTTGGAAAAAGGGAGATTTGATGAGGCCATGGGTTTTTAGAGAACATTTAAGGGGCTTTTAGGCAACTTGAGGATGCCACAGTCCTTGAGGACACAGGGATGGGGATGCTATGGGCTGTGTCTCCAGCAACCTTACAAACCCAAAAACCTCTTCCCATTTCTCTTGCTGACAGCCCAGCCCTGTCTCATCACTCACATTCCCCTGACAAACCCTGTGAGCTCCAGGGTCTCCTCCCCACAGCACTGTGCCTCAGTTTCCCCTCCCAGAGCTATGCCTCATCCTGGCTGAGAAAGAAGATTTTCTCCTGGAAAAAGCACAGGAGAAAATGGGGTTTCCATCCTCCCTCCATTCACCAGGATGTGGATTTAAGGAAGCTCCATCCTAGTGCTCCCTGCAGCTCTCATGGGGGTCCCAGGTGGCATCCTTGCCCTGCCAGCCCCACTTAATGTGTCCTGATTACAGGAGGGAATAAATGAGATGGCAAAAGTTCTTTCCCAAGTGAGGGCATGGCCCACCAGCTGTGCCTCAGTTTCCCCTTCCATAAACCACCACATGCTCATTGAATTGGCTTAGTGAGAGTATTAATTAATATCTACTTCAACCCAATTCCAGCCTAGGACTGTGCTATCCCATTCCCTACCCTGGATCTGCTGCCTCCTTGCCTGTAGGACCCTGATTTCAACTAAAGCCATGGAGCACAGAGCCTGAGCAGCCCCTGGCTCCAGAGGGCTGGGACAAGGCTGTTTGCATTGAAGCTTAATTCACTTCCACGCTATTTAAACTCTCTGAGGAAACAGCCTTTGGAAATACTTACAACCAGGCTGTAAATCTTTTAAATTGAGGAATGTAAATAATAAATGATGCAGGGAGTGTGGTGCTCGGGGTTTTATAGCCACCCATCGATCTGGGGCTGTTGACAGAGCTGCTTAGTAGGAGCTAGATGTGAGGTTTGGGTACTGGTGATGCTCCAAGCTGAGGGATAGGACTGGAAAGAGCCTCTGGGAGCATCCCATGGAGTTGGAGTGATGGGCTTACTTCCATGTAGCTCCTTAATTCCAGCCTGTCAAGCCAGGACAGGCTGAGGGAGAAGGAGCTGGGAAGAGCCTGATGGAACCAAATCCTTTCTCATCCCAAGGAGAGGCAAAATTAGGGGCAAACACTTCAGTCCCACCATGGACAAGCAGTGGTTGCTAGTTGCACTAGAGTCCCCTTAGCAGGTCCAACGCTGCTCTGTGCATTATTCCAGGTTATTCCCTCCATGGGAAGAGCAACTCTTGTTTTTTCCAGCCTCA